TTTATTCGTAGTAGTTTTCTTTTTTTTAAAAAGTACTTTAAACTGTATAAATAATGTAAAATTAAATTGATTTAAACAGCAAATCATACGAATGTCTGCCTATGACTTAAGCACTTCACTCAATGGATCGAAAGTAAATTTTTAATTAGTCGGAAATTAAATAAATTAACCGAGTTACCATTTCGATGAACAAATTAGCGAGACACAAACCCACTTTTTTCAGCATTATTTTTACATTTTTTACATATCAAACATAATAAACAATTACCGTAAAGTCCCAAATATAAACAACCCCGAAAATACACAACCCTTAGATTTTAATACTAAAATATGAGAAAAATAAAATAAGCAACCCTATAAGCAAAATAAAATTGAGTAATTTTTATTAATATTGGCTAATAGAATTAAGTATTTCAAAAGTTACTGAAATTAACAACCCTTCTAAAAAAATCAGTCTTATATTCTCGGGAGTTTACGGTAAGTCTCTACAAATTTTAACTGGTCTAAAAAGATAGCCGCTTTATTTTTAATGTCCGAAGCTTTTAAAATAAATAATTGATACATTAATATAAATACAACAATCTTTTAACATTTAACCAAATCATAATGAATACTTTTTTTCGTTTTTCACTCATTTAAATTTAAAATCTTCTCATAAAGGACCTAAAACTAAAAGGTTTGGGTAGATGTTTTAAGGGCTAGACCCGTTTAAAAAAAACCTTACCTGAGTTAACCGTCGGTTAGACTTCTTGGTTATCCGTATATATCAAATTACCCGGGTAAACAAATAAGATCACGGATAATATGTACCCCATGATGTAATTAATCAGAGTTGGACCTCTTGAAAAGCATATGCCGGGTTGGTGGTGCCAAAGTAATTTATGCAATTAATTATAATTTTATTTTCAAAGATATCAAAGTTATTTCTACTTGGTTCATGTTCTTTTATATTGAAAAGTACAATTTTCTTTGTTCTTTTGTCTATGGTATTGTTGCTTGGGTAATTACCTGGTTAATCTACTCGGATATGTTTACCCGGGTAATAAATATCTTACTGGATATCCGTTGTATCCCCGTGTAGCCTTTACCCGGGTCCAACCCTTAAGATGTTTTTCCATATTTGATGGATAGTAAAGAAATTTAAATTGTTAAAATCATTAAAAGGAGGAGCTGACGTAACTAAGGTTGAAACTTTAACGGTTGATTGTAAAAAAAATTTTTTCATTAGGTTTTTTAGGTAGTAAGCGAACATTACGAAAAACAGAAAAAGTATGTTCAAACATTTAGTTCTATATCACGATTATTATCTGATCAATTGATTAATGAATGAAAAAATAACATAATGATAAATACCGATAACACCGGAATTAAAAACTTACAGATTAATAATCTGTCAATCTTTCCAGAAATTTATGAGAAAAGTTATAAAACTGACTTCAAGCTATTTTGGATGAAGTCCAAATGTAGGAAGTACCAGTTCCTGCAATGTTGTTCAAATTCATTGATTAGGAAGGTCATACAGATGATAAACTAATTTACTCAAACTGAATATTTAATAAAAAAAAGCATAAAATTTTATTAGTTTTCAATTTGCAAAAATGCCGATTTACTATTAACTGATGTTAAATTCAATTGCAAATTTATGAAGTAATAATAAATGTAATTTATTACACCAGCAATTATTTTTCACTGGTGTAAATCGATGATAGTAGTAAAAACAATTTTCAAACTGCAATAACACGTGCTTTTTAAAATAATACGTATCCTGTGATACCAAAATTTTCGTTTTTGATATTATTGTCCTGATTTGAGGTTTACAGTTTAGTTTATATTAATATTATCACAAATATCATAAAAATCAAATCAATCATGTCACTTGATCTTGTCTGTCTGTTGTTTCTGTTTTTATGATTGGCTGAATACGCTGTATGACCTATGTTACATTACGGCTTTTTTATCAATACTAACCGTTTTTTTGCACAATACGTACCAATTTTTATAATTATCTGGTATACTAAATTTTATTTGAATATTTAAATAATATTAATAGTAGCTCCGGACTGACAATGCTGCGCATTTCCTAGTTAATAAAAAACATTATAGGCATAGCTATCGTGACACAATATCCGCAGAAAATTATAAATTATTTACCCTAGGTGCCGCACAAAAAATGCGCAGCAGATCCTCGATTTTGATTGGCTAACGGCCGAAGATCTTCGAAATTTTGGTCTGCATTACAAAATTGTTTACTAAATTCCGGCCGGAATTAACTTTTTAATTTTTCATTACAAAAATAGAAATTTTTAAAAAATAAGCACGCATTATGGTAAAATTGACCCAGGAACAATTTTTACTTAATAGGCGGCTGCGATTTCATTAGTAAAATTATGAGTAATTCCAGCTTAATTTTTTTTAGCCAATCAAAATTGAGGATCTGCTGTGTAGCACCTAGGTTCAATGATTCGAAATGGGTTTGTGGATCAAACCCAAATTTCAAATATATTTTGCAAAACACTATATATACTATATAACACCCAGGGATATTATTTCAAATAATGACTCAAATTAACTTTAATTTAGGCCAAAATTCAAAATTACACTCCTGCATATTATTTTATATTTATACAAATACTTGTACAATCGGGCAAGATTTGCCTGATTGTATAGGTAAGCTATGATTGCAATAGTGTGACACTAACCCTTGTTCTTTTTTAAAATGCTCAAGTAGATCCTACCAAAAAAGCAAGAAAAAAATTTACATTATTATCTATTTTATTATTTGTATTACCATTCACAATAGAGGTCTACTATGTTAATAAAATAAATTATTTTTAGACCTTACAAAATGTATATAAAAAAATTTTATTCATATATTGATCTCAGTATAAAGATAATAAGAAATGGTCTATAGTAAACAATATTCTCTTTACAAGCAGTCAAATAATTCGATTTCAACCTTGGTAGGAGATTCAGATGATGAATCAGATGAATATAGTTTTAGTCACTTTATTATAAGCAATACAGGAAGTTTTTTAAGTAAAGCTGAAGCTGATTGAACTTTTTTGTCTAAAGAAGTAGATAAGAATCGTGTATTAGTTTGGTACAAACTTGAAGTAAATATGAAGAATAGAGAGGATAAACAACAATGGCATAAACAAGAAAGTGAAAAGGAACAGAGTTTTCGTGAACAATTATTAAGACTCAAGTATGATTTATATAATGCTTCCAATAAAAAAGAGTACATATTAAAAAAAAAATTTGAAAAATCTGTTTCACAATTTCGTAAAGAAGAAAAGAAAAATAAATCACAACTTCAATCGATTGATAACAAAGCAGAACGAAGTTTTAGAAAAGAAATGTATAAATATTGGGGCGAAATTGTAAAATATGTGGTTGAGAAACATTTTGCTTGTGTGTTTTTTACTACATTACTTCACGTTACGTTATATTTTTTACATTGTTTCAAATAATAATAAAATTGATATTATAGGACTTTATATATATGCTAGTCTTTATACATTAATTATTATTTCTTATACGAATTCAGTTCGTGAATTTTTGCAAATGCTTACAATTATTATCCCATTATTTACTAGTTGGTTTAATGGAAATAGAAATGAATCATAAATTTCTATTTTTTAAAAAAATAATTCTTATGCTTTTATTTTTAAGTTTTATTATATATATTATTTTAAGTTTTTTTTTGTAAAAATATATTAAATAAAAACAACTTTTATAAAAATTTTCTTTGAATAGTTTACTAAGTACGATTAATGCTAATAGATTCATGGTTCATAGGTTATCTATATTAAATTATCGTTATACAAGAGTTTGAAAGTAATAGATACATGCTATATGTTATCAGAATTAGTAAGTATGTTGTAAAATCACAATATCTCCATGAGTTTTAAAGCTATTAGCATAAATTTTAGTATATTATAGCCTGGGATTAACTCTAAACTCCGTGTTATTGCATGTATTTAGGTTTTCTTAGTAGGGTTTCTTGCAAATCATTATCATATACAGTGTATTTTATTAAACGTATGTGATAAAGTTTTGCAACTGGTAGCCTAACTATATATTCTGAAATTAGTAATAAATATAACCAGCAGCCTAGTAAATTATAACCTAAAAAAAAAGCAGGTAGGATGCAGAAGAACCATTAGTCTAAAACTTTAACCTAAATATAACCAGCAGCCTAAATTGTAAACAAAAAAAGCCAGAGTTTCAAATTTTGTTATTAATAATTAACCTATCTGCTTTTTTTTACAGTGCAATTAATCTACCTAGAATGGAAAATGTTTTAAAACATGATCATTTAAAACATAGCATGATGAAAAGCCTAAAACTTTATCTTAAAATCACTATTAAATATAGCCGACAGCCTAAAATTGTAACCAAAAAAAGCCAGAGTTTTAAATTTTGTTAACACAAAAGTAAAACACTCTATAATTTTGCTATATGATTTGCCTTCATCTCTGTTTCTTTTTAGCAAGTTTAGTTGTATAAAATTACAAATCAATGAGCTCAGAGTTTCACAAAATTGGTTGTATTGTGTATATATTATACTTGATTATACTCTTGATCATGCTTTTAATTATACACCCCTTGCTTCATTTTATTTCACTCACAAAAAATTTTGTATAATGAACAACCTTTTTCATTTTCCTGTTAGTACTTGTATCACCTTTTTAAATGTAATTCTCTATTTTCTATTTTATTCATTTTATACTTTTTATTTTGTATATTTAAAACTCATTAACTATAACTAATTTCTGAATCACATTATAATAAGATTAATATATAGAGACCTATAGCAAAAGGGGCAGTAGAACAAAAATTTTGATTTTGTAATTTTATAAAAATTATATCCCTATTAATTTAATTTTTCAAGAAATCAATTAAAATAAAATAAAAATTTTTTGGCCCACTGTCTCTTTTTGCTGTGGAAGGTTCCATATATCAATAATTTCATTTCAATATTAATCTTTCTATAAATATTTCTATCTATGATTATCTTTCTTTATTTTATACTTAGATCAAACAACTTAGCACTTTTTCAAAAATATAAATATTCCTAAAAACTTTACTTAGAAGGCAAATTTAGGCAAGTAATATAGTAATATGGCATATAATGAATAAGTATTTAACTTTTTTTTGCTTAATACCTTGACTTAAACAACTAATAATATAGTAATACTTATATTTAAAACATCCTATCTGTCCTTTATTTCGTGCTATTTAATTTATTATTATTAAAGTATAATAACCTTATTTATTTTAATTAATATTTTAAATTAAAAATCTAAGAGTGAATCTGCAACTGTGATTTATGAAATAACCAAGAACCCAAAAAATAGTAATTACAGGATGGTTATGAAGTATACAAAGCAGAGAAGTCTCAAAAAATTGTTAGTAAATATAGTAAATTAAATTGGGCTTCCAAAGTAGCTAACTTATATTATATAGCTTAAGAGCTTAATATAATTTATAAAGCTGATTTAGTATATGAAGATTTTTATTTTAGTAATATAGTTAATCAAAATATTATATTACTGATTTTGGTTTATATAAACCAGTATTACAAGACTCAAATTCTAAAAAATTTTTTGGTATATCTCTGTATATTGCTCCAAAAATACTATTTAGAAATAGAAAGTTCAGTAAAGATTAGCAAAGTGTAGATTGAAAACTGTAGAATTTATATTTTATTTATCAAAAATATTGGCAAAGTAGCTTCAACAATGTTTAGAGACCAAAAAAGTGAAAGACAAACTCTTTATTATTTTGGTTAATTCTAAAATGAGTGTTTTTTATATTAATCTTTAATTTTTTTTCTTGGGCCTTACCTTCTGTGGCTCTAAAGTGTTTTTTATATTAACCTTTTACCAAATAGTTGGGTTAGAAAAAATACACTCAAAAATTAAATATCTATTTTTTTAAAATAATTATATTAGAAGTTTTTACTGAATATCTTCCATGTCATAATATTCTACATAATAATAAACTAGCAATTCAAATTTGTTATAGCTTTAGATTTAAAATTAGATGCGAAGCTCTTCAATTATTTTTGAATCTGATGAATAAATACTTAGACACAGAACCTCAAAACTGACCAACTGCTAAAAAATTAGCTAATATGTTAAATCATTTTTTTAGAAATTTTTTTTTTTTTTTTTTTTTTTTTTAAAAATTTGACAGTCTTGTCTTTACTTTATTAGGCTTTGTAATAATTATCTAAACAATTAAAATTTTCTACAAAGTTGTACTCTGTAGTACCTAAATTACAAGTGGAGACTCACCTGGTTGCTTACTGAGTACCTATGTGTGACCTGCTATAGTAAGATTTGCCTCTGTATTATCTTATCCTGCAATTGGGTTCAATAATATGTTACTAGCTGGATCTTACCGCCCATTAAGACTACAAATTAGTTTTCTACCAATCTGCCTGTTGTCCTTTTTCAATCCACCTTACAACCTCTTTTTTAGTTATTTCTAAAATTGAAACCCATCTTTTATTCTCTTCTTCATTTTTATCCTTTTCTTTTTTCCTAATACGTTTATCTGATAGTTTCTTCTTCTTCTTTTTTTCCTTTCTTGCCTTTTTATGCAATCTTCTTTTATCTCTTGGCGCAATTCTATTTTTTTTCACCCATTTCTGCATGAGTTTGCATTTTGCAACTCATATTCTTTTATATACTTCCTTTATTCAATTTTTCCAAAGTCTACCTAGAAAGCTCTTTGCTTGGTTATTCGAGTTGAAGAGAGGTTTCAGCTCGTCGAAGTCTTCTTTTGTGATTAGGCCTCTAATCCATCTTTCTCTTCTATGTGATTCTTCAGTTTGGAATTTTTTTCCTAGTATTGTTAAGACTTCTTCTTTGGTTGTCTTCAAGTTTTCTAACTTTTTTAATTCAAGCAAGATTGCCTCTACTACTTGCTCCTTCAAGTCTTGGAGAAGGTTTAGAGAAGTTTTACAATTCACTAGGTGTTCTACATTCTCTTTCTTTTTTTCATATATAACACATTTGTCTGTCTTATATGTTTCCGGCCTTCTCTGATTGAGTTTTTTGAACACTAGAAGCATGTTGTTTATATACTTTATTTCAAAGAGCTGTAGTGTATTCGATTTGAAGATGTGATTTCGTTGTCTGGTTCCACTCTTCATTATGTTGTACAGCATAAACCAAGATTGGGTGCTTTTTTTTTCTTAATAAGTTTCATCATGTGTGTTATGTAAGAAAGCCCATTCTGCCTTTAATAACACTCTCCCCATCATTTTAGTAAAGGAACAAATCAGCTTTTTAACTAATTTACCTTCCCACGTGTATCTTATTTTGTGACCTTTGTATATAACATTTCTGGGTTTAGGTACTCCATTGACTTAGAGCCTTCTTTTGCTTTCAAATCTGCAAGATCATTGAATATATCATCTGAGTAACCTTTGATCTTTATAAAGTGTGTGTTTAGCTCTTTTGTCTTAATCACCTCTACAATTGTTGTTACCAGACCACAATTCTTAGTCTTCAGCCAAGGTCTTATCTTGTCTGTTTCTAGACCTTTTTTGATTGCTAATATTGCTGCCTTACTATTCGTTCTTATTTCTACTCTTCTTTTACAGAGTGTAGTTAGTAATGCGAGTAATAGTGCTACCATTTCTGCTCTTGTAGATGAGAACCACCTTCTTGTCGCACATGACATTTGTTGCACTAGCTGACCTATTTCTGTAATTTGAATTACTCCACATCCTATTATTAGTTTTTCTTCCTCCTTAGCAGTACTGAGTAAGCTATCTGTATAGAAAAATAGACTGTCTAATACTCTATTTTGTTCTAACCTTTCTGCTATTCTAGATCTAATTACATTATTCTATTAACTAAAACTATTTTCCAACATTCACAACCTATATTTATTTTATCCTTCTCTTTTATTTTTTTCATTTCTTTTGCTTTAACAAGCACTTCTCTTCCTTTTTACCAACTACCTCTTCTATATATCTTTTTTCGAAAATTAACTTCGTTCCCTTTTCTGTTTTCTGAAATGTCTCTAAGTTTTCCATGTACATTTTACTTTTTCTATCAATTTCTAATAACTGCTGCATTTCGTTTTCATAACAATATGTTATTTCTTTGTATTTTTCAACTTCTATGTATGTATTTTCTTTTTCTTTAACCTTTTCTACATTAAAAGTTGCATTTGCTTCATCTCTTCAGCAAACCCATTCTTTTATTCTTTTATTAGCACTTGGTTCCTTTGTCTCTAAACTAAGTGCATTAACATTATTTGCTGCATAGTTATATCTATTTTTGACTACTTGTATAAGAGGATTTTCTAGCATTTCTTTTTCTAATCTAGCAAAGCAGTTCACTTTTTTTTCTTTTAAACCCTTGCTTCCTGCTATTTTAACTTGCTTCCATGTATGCATTGTTTTGTCATCTTTTGCAATAAGTTGTGAAACCAAAATTAAACCCAGGCTGCTCGCTTTCGTTTCCTCGTATACTATGTTTAAACACTCAAAAACACATACAATCTCTTCATCATTCACTACTTGTGTGATGTCTAGATTCCAGCTCTTTGTGATTTCATTTTCTTCTATTAAAAAGCCCAGAGTGTATGCTTGTTGCAAGATA